CCTGACTTCCTTGATTTTGAGTGACGCTTTTGATCACAAATTGTTAGTTAACCTCAGATAAATCGCAAGCGTGATTTTTAGCAAATTTTCATTGGAATAATGATGATATACACTTATAAAGAGATGGAAAAAGCGGTGCCTCTTACCATTATTAATCATGCGTGACCACTTGAGCTTCTTCAGAGAAGCTTTCTTTGTCTTAGATATTTTACGCATCATGGAGAATTTTCTTCCTTTAATTTTAACGAAGCTTAAGATATCCAAACATTTTGATTAGGTTGGGAGCCACTTGGTTTAAAACTCAAAGATACTCATCAAAGAACCAGTAGACGAAAATGTGAACGAATTTCAAAAAAAAACCTTCAAAATTTATTCCAGTCAAAAGTCTTTTCACTGAGTTCTAAGTTTTATGTACTTCAGTAAACCCATCTTTGTCTGTGTAAGGGTATAAAATATATTCATCTCATTCGTCTTTTCGTCATTTTGCTGCGTTATTCAGTTTAGGTTTCTCTTCTTTTGGTCGATTCAAGACTTTAAGCATTTGCTGATGAGCGTAAAGAAGTCGATCTCGACGTGAATCAGTCCGGCGAAGCAAACAGCAGAGGGAACTAACGATGACCAGCTTTTTATGAACTGGGTTCATGTTTGACTTCTTCATACTCTGATTTGCGAGGTTGCGAGGTTGCGAGATCTCGGAATGCAAAGTCTACGATGTAGGGACAGTGTTTTAACTTACACGTTTGAAAATACCTTGAAAGAAGTTCGCGAGGCGTTTTGCTCCTCTATCCTCCGGTCTGACCCTATGTGGTTTCCTCAGTTTTTATTGGATTTGATTCAACTGCATGTTAATGAGTTATGGCTTCACTTCAATTTTATTTCAACAGGTTTTTAAGGTCGTTGATGAACAAGTACTAAAGGTCAGGTAAAGAATTAGTTTTAGAAAGCAGACTTGTTTTGATCTCGACAGGGCGTGCGCCTCACTCGTGGAGCTCCCGCGACGCATCAACCTTACTCCAAGAGCTGCCCGCGGGGCGCGAACATCAGATTTTTTTTTTTTACTGGTTATATTTACTTGCGTGATGAACTTCGCCGAAAAGGGGAAACAGTTCGTAATCTATCTGGAAAAAAGATTCCTTTGAGAAATAGAACAAAAAAGATCCTCAATGAGTGGCTTGAGATTATTTCTGGAGCTTTCTTCCTTTATTTTTTATGTTTCATCCACTCTTTTCAATCAGACGGAACGAATCTGCAATATCGTGCTTAGGTACAAGCGTCCCATCAAGGAAATTAGACCTTGAACATTCTAGTTTCAATACTTTACACCATAGCGCTGCGCTTTTACTCTAAGAGAGAAAAATCTGTGATAGCCTCCCATGGTGAACAAAATTGACTCAATTAATTTTAACACATCAGTTAAGAGATTTTACAACTCATTTGGGTATCTCCGTGTTTTGGGTATCTTCATTAAGTAAAATTGATACCACATACTAGGTGCACTTTCAAGCCGTTTCACAGTTAAAGCTGTTTTTCCTGTTCAGTGAGGGCAGCACGGGGAGCTGCTTAAGAAATAATGACTAAAAACATCCGAGGCATCTGGAATCTTAGACTTCCTTCGCGATCGGAATGTTCCAATTCCCTTGAGTGACCTTTCGGATACATATCTCTTATGAGTACTTCTGTTTTATTACCCAGCCCATCTCCTGTATGTTGTGTTAATTTTGCGAGATTGATAGAGTAGCAGTTTCCCCCTGCCCCCTTAGTTTGGTCCAGGCTAAGATAACATGTACTACAAAAAAAGCAAAAAAATCCAGTTGTTGATGCTATTTTAGTTTTTAATACCTAATTGTTCAAAATTATACCAATCTAAACTAACTTTGATCAATTCCAGGAGCTCAAATGGTGCTTGAAATTTCCAAGGAAACTAGAAAGATAACACAAACACTGGAGCTCTGGAAACTCCTTGCTGCTAAGATATCACTGGCAAAGGAGACATAACGTTTAGCAAAAGAGATGAAANTCTTCGCTTGGGCCATCCAAGTCTCCGAGTCTGATTTGTGTCACAGGCAGAGCAGATTTATCAGTCAACAAACCGCTGTCCTCTCTCCAGCCACTGCCACTGTTACGACAGTTACACTTCTTACCATTGGAACACGAATTTGTTACTCCGCATGCGCACATCTTATAAGACCCTTTAGCTCCTCCCCAGTAGTTCATCTGTGTTCCATTACGTGACACCCACCAGGCGTCTCCTTCCTCAACGAACGCTATGTCATTGTTACATTCAAACTTGATAAACTGTTCACAATTCTGGGAGACTGTAGTGAGCGCTGCTAGCTGAGAAGTGTTGATTCCAGTATATTGCACATCTTTACTGAAACATCCTAAGTTTCCCACGTTGCACCCAGGAATGTTCCCAACATGAGTTCTGCTCTCACTATCATGACTGATGACTGTCACACCAACCCCACCTTTGTCAGTCATGTCGCAGTACACGCTGAAGGGTGTCATATCTCCTTTGCCCTCAGGGTAAATCATATAAGTACCTGAAGATAATCCTCTATTGTATGCTCTTATTTTACTACAGGAGGTTGATTTTCGAACTTCAAGCGCAAGCAAAGTGCTTGAAGTTATGGAGCGATGAAAACTTCTCGCAATGCAAGTGTAGGATCCAGTATCAGTCGGGGAAACATTTTTAAGAAGAAGGGAGCCATTTGAATAAACTACGTGACCTGAAGGTAAACCTTGGCCTGTCCGCTGCCACACAATCTCTCTTGCTCCTTGTGCTTCGCAAGTCAGTAACACATTTTCTGAGAGGATGGCTGAGCGTTGAAGGGGAGGGAGTAATGTAAACTTGAGTTGTTCAAACACGATGACTAGTGTATGGGCGGAGTCCTCATTAATAATGTTCTTTGCCAAACATATATAGTCTCCACCGTCTGTTTTGGTCACATTGGTTATTTCCAACCTGCCATTCTGAACTCTTGATCTTCCCTTTGACATGTGACCGACTGCTTTTCGCCACGTGATATTTGGTGTCGGCTTTCCAGTAGCTTGGCAGACCAGACTCACTCTGTGTCCTTCTTCGGCAATAATAGATGAGGGTTTTTGGATGATTAATGCACCAACTGAAAATGAAACCAAGAGAAAGAAGGTGAACAAACTTCCTAAGTGTCATCCTGAGGTAATGACCGTAGTCATTCTTTTTTTTCTTTAAGCACAGAGAAAAAAACTCGTTAATTAAACACTCTGGTTCCTCCCTGTTTTCGTCGCCCAAAGCACAAAAATATCATTTACGCTCTACATCAATTGATATCAGTATTTTTAAAATAACATAGTTTATGATGAACTTTTGAGTCGAATGTGTAACAACTGAATGTAGTATTTCTTACCTTGAACAGTCAACCTAGCCAATGACGTCATAACCCCAAGAATATTCCTTGCTACACAGATGTAGTTTCCGTCATCTTTATACGCAACATCATTGATCAGCAGGCCTCCATCAGTTAACACAATGCGTTTATCCGCGAGAAGACTGGAGTTATCTCTTAGCCAAGTGACTTTTGGCTGCGGATTCCCTTCAACCTCGCACTGAAACGAGGCTGTACCAGTTTCTTTCACGACTATAGACGTGGGAGCTGTCACAATAGAGGGAGCTGAGATAGATTTACCAGGCTCGCCCCTAGCTCCAGGAGGGCCCATAGGTCCGGGAGGTCCTTGAATGCCCTGAGGACCATGGTTTCCCTTCGGGCCCATTATACCTTGTTGCCCAGATGAACCGTGTTTTCCTGGAGGGCCTATTGGTCCAGCTGGTCCCGGAATTCCTTTT